CTAATTATAGGAAATGACTTTGTAAAACTCAAGTCGGTCAGAGGCCGATGATGCTTCTCCCAACCCGGAAATAGTTAACCTTTAACACCTGGTAATAATAAATTTTCATTAGTTTTTTGTGTTTAAATTTCTAGTTAGTTTAGTAGTCGTCGACTAATCACAAATTTCTTGACTAATCATAATCAATTTTACATATCAAATCCTTTCTTCAATGCAATACGTCTTTGGCAGCCAAAATTGAAGATTGAGAATTACTGTATGTTGAATACAGTTAGTGTTCATAATGCAAACTAATTTGAACGCTAACTAATTAAGGTAAATGCACAATATTTGAAACATTTTATGAATTGTAACAGGCACGTGTAATCTTATTCACATTGAATCAAAATCCTATGTAAAAGTTGGTAGAATAGTTACAAATAATTAATCACAACTCGTGGCCTGAATTATACACATAAATTTCAATTTATTTCGTATGGCCTGTGGGTACCTATCAATTCTTCATTACATATATACAGATAAATATAGAACTATATAAGGTTTTTCATGGGTTTCATCTGCAAATAATTTAATAACATTTGCCCATCATATGTTAATTGTATGATGAAAATTCTAAGGGGCTGGTCGGTAGGTACATAACAAGAAATTTGTCCTTAGTGTTAGGAGACAAAACAATCCCATTTTTAAGAATAAAGAAGAATTATGAATCTATGATGAGCTTCCATGCATCTTTCTAAGGTGTGTGTCATGTGCTTATGTTCGCCCAAATCATGCTGGGGAGAACTTATTTCATGCACGAAAATGTACTTTATCATACAATTTTGGATTATACATGTCGCCAAATTTGACACTGTTCTGCTAAAAGATTGAGCATTCTAAGACGTCTCCAACAACAATAATCTGGTTGATGATCGTACGATGCAGACGAACCAAATAGAGATATGAGTTGAAAGTCTATCATTGACTGTTGGCTTCTCACTGCTTTATTTCTTGACTTCATAAGTTCAACCATTTTAAAAAATAGAATAGATCTTTGACTTTTAATATGATGCTTATGTTTATTTGCTAATGTTATGCTGAGGGATGCAATACCCATAACCCTTAAATTTATTGCTTTTGTACAGTACAAAATCGATGAATCAGACTGATTGATTTTCTTAATTGGCCCCTCACTAAGTTAATTAAATTACCAAGATGATGACACACCATTATGAATTGTATTTCCACCGATGATCTTACATGTCATACATCTTAATTTATTAATTTTTTCAATTAACCACCAACTCTTTTTATTATTCAACTGCTGCGAATGGAAGTAATCAGCTGCGAATGCATCCACCAGAAACAATTCCAACCTCAAGATTTCTTTATTCAAAACCAAACTGGATTCGTCATCATATTGGCTTTATTCAAAATGAAGCTCATATTAAATTTTGAAAAAGAGACGAAAGTACAACAAAATAATATACACAAGGATTATTTAATTTTCTTTCAAGTACATATGCTATTTTATATGCCTTTTATACAAGAACAGTTGGTTAGCACTTCCCATAGGTTTCTTGCGTTCAACTTGGTAGCAAAAATGTGTACCGTGGAAGAAATTTAGATTTGTGCATTCATACTAGCAACGAATTCTATATAAGCAGCATGATGCTTAGCTTTACGATGCATTCAGTTATCTGCATTTTCAAAGTGTAATTCTTGGAAAGCTAAAAGCCAAAATGGAGAAACTCTCAACCCACCTCTTGTATTGTTTCTTCTTCATTGTTCTTATTGTTTTTCATTCATCCCCGGCAACATCTCAAGAAGTTGGTAAGTAGTTATATTAGCATGTATCCATGAGATGGATACTGGAAGCTAATTCGTTCTTTTAATGTTAGAAATATGATTTAGCGTGTGTTTGTATAAATTCATATTTTAATTCTCTCCGTTAATATTGGTTTTATGGTGCAGAGGATGAACAGAGTTTAGTTATAGAGCAGAGGGTGAGAATGGGCCAGAACGATGGGAGAGCTTCACACGATGGAGTATGAGTGCTTGCGAAAATGGATCAATGCAGTCTCCAATCGATTTGTTGCATGAGAGAGTTGAAGTAGTGTCTCATTTAGGGAGACTTAAAGAAATTACAAGCCCTCTAATGCCACGCTAAGAAATAGAGCCATGACATGATGGTAATTAATTGAACAAGAGAAGAAAAAAAAAAAAAAAAAAAACCCTCAAATCTTTATATAATTGTAATAAAGGCAAATGAATATGATCTAATTGAATGCATAAGATCATCTAGTAAAATATGTGATTCCAATTCCATCCATTAAAATGCATCACATGATCTATATTTTCTATATGCAGGCATAGAAGATTAATATTTATCTCTTTTGCGTGCAGTTAAAGTGGGAAGAGGGTGCAACTCTTGAGATAAATGGAACTGAATATATCCTCAACCAGTCCACTGCATTCACCTCTGAGCACACTCTCAATGGAAGCGGTACTATAACTATTATCTTCAGCTATAATCACTATATTGCTTAAATTGGGAGATTTTACTTTCTCTTCTGATTACTTCTTTAAAATTTATAACTGCAGATTTGATCTAGAGGCTCACATGGTTCATGAGAGCACAGATGGGAAAGTTGCAGTAGTTGGGATCCTGTACAAAATCGGACGACCTGTTCTTTCTTGCATCGGTAATTAATTAATTACTAACCGAGAAGCTGCTAACATTTATATCTCTTATATCCATCTCCAAGTATTCCTTCAAATGATCATTCTTTTTTTTGTTAACAGATAAAGGATCATTTAGCAGCCATGGTGGCAGCACTGAAAGAGATAAAGTGTGGGTTGATGGATCCAAGGGGCATAAAGATAGGCAGTAGGAAGTATTACAGATATATTGGATCTCTTACTATTCCTCCTTGCACTGAAATGTTCTCTGGACAATTGTCAAAAAGGTTTGCTACCTACAATATTAACTTATTCACTTACCCAAAAACTTGTTCATTTTCGATCAAGTGATTATTTTTATTTTATATATCTTCTCATGAATTCTTAATGTGATTAGTGAGGACGGTGCCAAGGAGCAAGTGCAATCTCTCCGCGTAGCTGTACATGATGTGGATGTTGCACCAAATAATTTTAATGCGGCCCTTTATCTTTCCCACATAAATTTCAAAAGAACACTTGAAAATTTACCAGAATTATGGACATATAAGAATTTTTTCTTCATCTACTTGACTATGATAATACTTGATTAAATTCAAAAGCATCATTTTAGGTAGGAAGATATTCAAATGTATACATTTTTTTTCTAGAAATGATTAGGTGGTATCATAGAGTTTGAAAACTTTTTGGAAGAAATTTTTATTATACACTCTTCAATAATAGATAAGAATAATGAACGTTAAATATTAGAACAATCGTATATTTGTATGCGTGTACTTATGCTAAGAGTAATCTTTTGCAGGATTCGGATACAAATGCAAGACCATTACAGCCAATAAACTCGAGGTCGTTACATCTTTTCAGACCAAATGATGATTCGACAGAAAACCCATGATATATATATATAATAGCTCATTGCTATATGTGTATCATGCATCCACCATAGAACTCATCTCTTATGCAATAACCCAATTTCGCCATGCCCATGCTGCCATTGTTGCTGGAGAATATAGTGATCTACACTACCCTAGACGAGAGACACCTATATCTACAGATTTTTTTCTTGGGATTTTTGTTTGTTTTTTATTTTATTATTTTATTATCATCATTATATGTAGAGATCAATATATCATCAATAATACAATTTTTTTATAGTTAAATTCCTGTCTCGTCACTTTAATTTATAAATTGGTGTAACTTATTATATTTTTCCTAAAGAGAAATAACTATATATGAATGGTCTTAATGTATGGATTTCAATTCAATTATATATAAAAGACAAAAAAAAAAAAAAAAAAAAAAAAAAAAAAAAAAAAAAACAATTTTTTATGCATTAATTGGTAAAATATCTATGATAGACTGAAGAGTGTACGATATATGTTATCAATAGGTACTCTTTGGTGAAGTTATGTAGCAATTGATTGCCAGAATACTTCTGCCACATTATTTAATTGAATGTAAATCGTTTTTAATTAGCAATTAGATCAATGTAACAAGTAAAGTGTTTAATATTTATTTTATTAAAAAACTTTATTTTAATTTATTCATCTTCTCTTCTCTTCGTATCCTATCTGTTGACCTTTAGCTTAATAACGTGTGTTATTGCACAAGACAAAGAAACATTAACCTGAAGATTTGTTAACTTAAGCAAGCTAGCAAGGATACAATCTTGTAAAATTGAAAAAGTAACAACGTGAAAAGTCAGAGATGACCATGACAAATTGATTAACTGATTTTTATCACACATGAGGTTTCTTGATAATCTGGGCATAGATTCCTGAAGAACTCGTATCAGCCTTCAAGCCTGGAAACAACCAATATTTTCTGAAGAATAAATCAAGCGAAACATTCATATCGAAGCATTCAAATTGACTTAGCCAGCCCTCACCAACCACTATACCACTGTAGTAAATAGTAGTCATGAGAAGTTTGGATTTTTAACCGAAACATAGAGCCAAGAGGTGATGTTCCAATCACTGCAAAAAGTGCCATTATTATTACTATATAAGAAGCTCCAGCCAGTGCATTGTTATCTAACTCATCTTGTACTTGGATTTTAATCTAAAATTCTAATAACTTAGTGATATAAAAACTGTCCATTTAAGTTTCTATAATGCATTCTTATTAAATTTTATAATTAATTTAATTTTATAATTATACCCCTCTTAACCTATAAAAGGGTATAAATGGGGTAGGCCCACCTACCGACCTTAACCTAGCCCGCTAAAGAAACTACAGGTAAAGAGTTCATTTTTCTAGGCTCATTTCTTTATACCAATTCTTTACTCCTAGCTATCACTTATTACACAGAGATATCGTCTACCAATAATACATACACAAAGAAAATCAAATCTACCTCTATAATTGGTAATGAAAGATAACATGCACAAACCACAAAGCTGTTTTCCAAGAGATAAAATGGTCTTCAATATTTACTAATTATAACTTCTTACAGTCATACCATTCTGCCAAGAACTTTCATGATATCATCCATAGATGGCCTATGCAAAGGATCATCTTCCACACAAGCCTTGGCTAGAACAGCTAAACATAACGCTTCTGCAAGAGGGTAATCCTCCTTAAGACAAGGATCCATGAAACTCCTCAATTGTTCAAAACAACCACCTTCACTACCTCCCCCTCCCAAAAATCCAATGCACTCCTTGAATAATTTTCCATCCATGTCTTCTCTTCCTGAAATCAATTCAAGCAAAACTACCCCAAATGCAAAAAGGTCTACCTTTTCCGAAACTGAGCCATTCAATAGATATTCTGGTGCTATCCATCCTTTGGCACTTGCCGAAATATCATTTCCTTTTGAAGATCCAGCAGCATGGTTTGTTTCAATACTTGCGAGTTTCGCTCTCCAAGTTGATGTTATAAATATATTCCTAGTATTTACACTCATGTGTGCATAGGTTGGGAAAATACAATGATGCAGATAGTGCAGGCCTGTAGCAATATCAAAAGCTATCTGTGTTCGTTTTTGCCAATTAAGAAGACTAGATGAATTAGACAAGCAGCCCCTTAGGCAGCCAAGGGTAGGGAATTCAAACATAACATATGACCAAGAAAAATCACTATCTCCATAACAAACACCATGTAAACTCACTATATTTATGTGATTGATCTTCGAATTTACATCGATTACCTGTCGGGTATCTTCAAACCGCACCTGCTTGATCATCACTTCAACATTATCAATCTTCCCTTTAAAGGATTGGTCTCCAATTTTGGTATCTTCACCGAAATTTTTTGTTGCTCTTTTGAGATCCTCCATACTGTAACTTGACAAAGAGTACTTTATTCCTGCAAGGAGATCTGGAGATAAATATGAATTTGCAGAGCTGTGACCAGTTTGACCAGATCGAGGAGAGCTTCTCGCGGTTGAAAATGAAACTTGAGTTGAGCTTCTGGTATTGAATGATTGTATCCTCCCACCCTTCCATTTGCGCAAGGCCTTCACATACAATCCACAAGCAAGCAATGCTACAAGCAACAAAGTGAACCCAACAACTGATCCTACAATATACAAAGTCTTTAAGTTCACTTTATTCGTTTTCTTAATGGAAATTGTTGGAAGAAAACCAGGAGCAGGAGGTGGAGATAAATCAGTAATATCAAAAATTATATTCGGATCCGATTTCAGGGGAATCAGAAACGTTGTTGTTGGATAAACGGTAGGCTTAGGGGCTACAAGGTTTGCTGCACACAGATCTTCAAGGGAGATGCCGAATTTCTCGCACAATAAGCTTAGGTCATCTTTTTCAACAAAAGGGTATGTCAAAAGGTACTTCACTCCTTCACTAATAGAAATATTGTCAGGGCAGGCACATCTCAAGGGCACATTAAGCTCAGAACCAACCTTAACACCATTTTCTTGAGACAGGTTTTCTTCGGAAAGTGTGTGAGGTTTTAGGAAACCTTCAAAGACTCCACAAGCAATATCTGAATATGTTGTGTTTCCAGGGACTGTGTAACTGAAATTTGTCTGAAAAAACTGGCCTGAGCAGGAACAATTAATGGGAATAAGAACTTCTCTACCCGATTTGAGTATCTCTGAAGAGGATGTAAGCTTGTTCAAGTGAAGTACCTCATTGGACGCGTTGGAGTTAATCTGAAACAAAGCAGTGATATTTGAGAGAGTCTGAAATTGTGTGTTAGCTCTGTAAACTATGAATGTATTGCATGAATTTCTGAAGGAATTGCAAGTATATCTTGAGCCTGGCAAACTAGTATTTGCAGAGCACTCAGAGTAGTCATAATGCTGTTGAGCGTAGCTTAAATTGATGCATGCCCATGAGAGCAACCAGAGATAAATCATGGTTTCTGAAATCAGGTACTGTGCATTTGGTTAGATGATAAAGAAATATGAAAGTCTTTACAAAATTTTAAAATACAAACTTTCATAATAAAGAATGACCTATGATAATGCTTCTATATGATGAAAGGGAGATAGAAATCATTTCATTAGCTTCATGCAATTGGCTGCATAATCAATCTTTCAAAAGAATAATGGATTTATTATATTAGAATAAAGTCTTTGGCAAAAGACAAGTACTCTGTTTGGAAAGGAATCAACGGCCGGCCAGCCAATATACTTGTGTCCAGTAAGATACCATTTTGGATGTTTTCTACTTTGTTATTTTCCAATCATGAACCTTCCACAACATCATTGACATAACCCCTTTTTCATCTTTTGAAAGAAATTATATCAGAATTACGAGATTGATTACTTTACTATTCTCCATGATAAATAACTCGAAGTGTTGAATCCATGATAAAAGACAGATAATAGCTTTGAAATAATTAGCAACATTACATCACATTTAAACTAAATTAGTTCTTGATACGGTATGCAAGAAAGAAAAAGAAGTCCCAATAAATTAAAGAAAACAAAGTTTATTAACTGCTTGAAAATGTTCCTGCATGTGTATTCGTCTTTGATAGCTTTCACTATCAGAAGGCAGCGTAATCCAATTAATTAACCTAACCTATAATACTTACAAAAAATTTCACAGAAAGGCGTGAATAACTAGATGTACAATATGATTGTTTAATATTGATATGCTGGCCTTGTTCTTTGTAACAAACTCTGACTCAACGAGTTAACATAAAAATAAAAACAAGGCTAACACACGATTATGCATCTACGTTTGATAAACAAGTTTCAAACTTTCAATCACAAAAACTTAATTTATAAAGTTTGAAGAAAAATCTGAAAAATCATTATATATCTTCAAAGAAACGAATAATATATTTATATAAGGTAGTGATCAGTCAACCCTAATAAGACTCTCAATTAAACAAGGAAATAATATCCTAATTAAACACGAAAATTAATTAAAAGAAGAAATTCTTACTGTTGATTAATTATAAAATAAGAGATAACTCTAAATAAAATAGGAAAAACACGAAGACAACTAAAACGTCCCCAAAATATGTTGAAACAGTAGATTTTGCCCTCGAAACGAACCCCAACCAAGTCACCCGGTAGGTTAAGACGTCAAGCTCGAAACGAATTTTCCGTTGATATCTTACGGACCTTATAACTCCTCCCGAATCAAAAGTTATAATTGTTTTAAGTTGACATATCTATTTAAGATTTATGATATTTGGGCCGTGCGTTTGAGCTTCTAACGCTCAACCCTCTCCAAGAATTCATCTGTTAAACATTCTATGTAAAAACCCTTCAAAGAAATAACCGTAAATTGAATATCTCTTGTTATAACAACACTCCATACAAATAGAACAAGAACAAGTCTAGAGTTCCAAATTTCTTTTAAATGCACGATCTAGAAATGATATAATGTTAAAAGTTAAAACGTGATCGAAAAAACAAGAAAAATATGAAAAACAGGGAGTTGAAAGCCTAATGATTCAAGAGTAATACTACACATACATCATTTTCATACAATATTTCTCATACAACATTGTGTGGTAAGATATGATTGGCTAATTTAAAATTAAAATTAAACTTTCACCCAATCATATCTTGTCACATAATATTATATAAAAAATGTTGTATAAGAATGACGTATATATAGTATTATTCATGAATCAGAGGGCCGAATTTGAATTCTCCCCACCGCAAATTATAATTATTCCGCTTTGTTTACAGCTTCGGGTATTGAAATCTAAGTCAAAGATAGGTTTGAGGCTGTGGCACTGTGCAAGCTCAACGGCTGGCAATTATCAATTACCTCCCATTACGTTTATTGAAAACTTAATAGACCCCTTATTGTATTTGAAACAAACGATTTTTGAAATTCCCAACTACGTAGGGATGGCAATGGTCTCATCCCCAAAAGTAAAATGAAGCTAGCACACTTATGTGAGTTTACTAAACAATAGGGGTGATTTCTCATTATTTTTTTGATAACTGAGGTATCCGAACCAGTTTATGCGTACTTCAACTAAACTTTGGTATCTATTGAATACCTTATAAGCCCAAATGACCAGGTAAGCTACAATGTTATTGTAAGAGGTGGGTTCAAAACGCTCATTGAACACCCTCTAAGCTTAAAGAACTATATAAGTTACAATATTATTATAGTAGGTAGTCTCAAGGTTTGAACTGAGGAAATCAAAGAAGAGAATAAACCTCCTGAATTGTCAGACTAAGCCCTTAGGTTTATTTCTCATTATTAATGGCAACAAAATAAGTAGCCAGAAAAAATTAAAGCAGGTCCTTGGATTTTTAAAATGCATGTAGAGTCTAGTTGAGTTTCAATGAAACCTTAAATAGAGGTGGTGGGGTGGGCAATCACCTTAATTTTTATTGAGGTTTATAAACAATTCGGAACTTGGAATTAAAATCCACACAAGTTTGAATTAGAATTGATTCCAAATCAAAGGTGGCATTTGATACAGTTAAAAAACAAGTCTCCAGTTCTATGAGTTCAAGTTGCCAACCTGTTGCACTGCTTTCATTGTTCAAGAATATGCTTTTAGGAGGAGGAAGAAGGTTACCCCACTATTCTCAATAAATAGCCTCTGCAGAGTCTGGACCTTTTACCCATCAACACATCATCTGCAACACTTTAAACAATTGCAGCAATAAATATCTTGAAATAGGACCTTGCTGCTGTCAATAACTTTAATCACTTCTGTGCCTTAGCGCCAGCACATCTATAGCACATGATTCGCAAAATTAGCCGAAACTGAAATAACACCCTTTTCTTTTTTACACAAAGTTGTTACTTATTTAATTATGCCAAATTAAAGCACTGACCATTAACATCTATGCACCTTGAAAATGACATGTATTATACAATATCCATAATTCTAAATATTTTGATCTAATCATCTTAAATTAATTAGTGTAAAAAATGTTATATATATATATATATATATATATATGTATTAATGGATATAATTATAGAAATTCATACTTCTCTTTAATTCCTAGATCTATATTCACCGTTGAAAAATATATAATAAACGATCAATTAAGAGTGATAATTCCTTATTGGCTAGATGACCAATAAATTATATTATCTCTGTACATATTGATCTAACAACAAATAATAATTAATTATTGGACAACATTTTTCCACCTGATAATCACATTGTGATGCAGCGGAATTTAGATAGACACTAGATACACTCTAGTGTAGCAATTCGAGTCCACGATATGTTCGAATTCACAAACAATGAATCTCAAATTCACGAGAGAATATGGAATTCACGAGTCACAACGCAACAATTCACAAAGGAACCATCAAGAAATTTTATTAAATAGTCATTAACCATTGTTTGTAGAATAAGAAGTCTATTTACACTAAACTAATTATAATGCTACTAGAACAATAAGTAAGAAAATCCTAGGCTTCGTTTGGTTGCCAATTGGGAATACTACTTTTAGTATTCCCGAAAAAGTTAAACAATAAAATACTCAAAAACTCCCAATATTATTCAATATTATTCAACTTTTTTTAAACCCCTTAAATTTTTTAATTTAATTAAATACCTCTAAATATTTTTTAAAAAATTACAAAAACACCCCAACAATCCACGTTTACCAGATTTCGGCCACCACTGCCGGAAAATGGCTGGAATCTGGTAAGATGGCGCACTACCGGCTGAATCTAGTCGATAGTGTGCCGATCTAGCCTTTTCCGGCTAGATCCACAGTGGATCTGGCCGGAAAAGGTCAGATCTAAGGCCAAAGATCTGGCCGCTGACGGCCAGATCTTTGGCCGTAACCAGTCGATAACGACGGCCAACAAATGGTCGTCGTTGACCATCAACGACGATCGTTTGTTGGCCGTCGTTGAATAGCAAATACGGCCAGATCTGGCCATCAATGGCCAGATCTAGCCGTAGATCTGGCCTTTGTCGACCAAATCCACCGTGAATCTGGCCGGAAAAGGCCTTATCGGCGCACGATCGGCAAAATCCAGTCGGTCATGCGCCGATACGGCGACTCTAGCCACCCTCCGGCGGTAATGGCCGGCTGTCCGTATTTGAGGGTTGGTTGGGGGTGTTTTTATTAACTTTTAATGTTTTATTATAGGGGGTATTTTGTAAAAAAATAAACATAGGGGGTATTTTATAATTTATAAATCCTACGCCCAATTCAACTTTTTTCAAAAAACTTTTTCCAAAAACCCAAAATTTTGAACCAAACGGAGCCTAATATTACTAGAACAAGGAATTATAAAATAAGAAAGTAAAACATAACTAAATTAAAACTTCCTAAATAAACTAAATTCCAATTTAAAATAGAAAACTATTTAAATTTCTAATATAAAACCCTAAATAAATAAGAAAATCAAATAAAGAAAAACAAACAAAATCAAATCATAATTTAACAATATTTGTCCTACATCAAACTCCCCCTCTTAAAAATAAACTCATCCTCCAGTTTTGCAATCCGGCGGGCAACACTTGAAATTGAGTAGTAAATCATCTGGTGTAGTAAATAAAAATCCTTTGTCATCAATCTTCCTTGGAAAATTGTCATGCACCACAATTTTCAAGTCGATGTTGAATGTCATTGATGTTTCATCCTCTTGACCCTCAACTTGAATATGTTCTTCTTGCTCAATCTTCTCCTTTAGGACAATTTGCTTTTGCTCTTATTAAATCTTCTCTTCTTGGACAACTTGTTCAGCTTTAATATCGACTTCATTCTCAATCTCTTTTGATGTGTGATCTTAATTTGTACCATATCGTGATCTTTGTTGGCTTTAGGAATTTCTTTAGGAAGTGCTTTAGGCATCTTGTCTTTGTCCATAATTGGTGAGGCATGTATTTTCTGAAGACGACTTTTTTTTTTAATTCTTAGTTATGATTCTACATGAAAGGCTAATTTGAGAACATCAAACAATGTATGGTCAGGTTGTAAATCAATTTGAGCTCGTACGTATGCATTCAACCCATCAA